TCTGTTTTTGCTCTGTGTTAGCCTCAAAACCAAGCAATATATTCTTTTGTTTCATTGATAGCCCGAGAAAACGCATGGWATTTGAAAAGAAAGACAATAGAATTGRTTTGAAATCTCACACTTTTATTCTCACAATTASGAATATTTTGCGCATAAAAGAGGCTAACACAGAGCATTGGAGAATTCGAAACTGGATTATTRCTTTCCATTGAAGCTCTTACTGTAAGAAACTTGTATAGTCACTTAATTACGTGAAACAATAAAAACTCCTTTTGAACAGCGGTAGATGACAACAAGCTATTTCGATCTTGGAATACGCTGTCTACAGTAYTCAACGTTTACAGAAATTGATATAGTTTTTCAATCATTCCCATGAGATTCAAAAGCTAAAAGAACGGCGGCCATGTTGGAGGAATGAACAATAGATATTGAAATTTCGATCTTGGAATACGCTGTCTACAGTATTCAACGTTTACAGAAATTGATATAGTTTTTCAATCATTCCCATGAGATTCAAAAGATAAAAGACCGGCGGMCATGTTGGAGGAATGAACAATGGATATTGAGATTACTGCAAACGCCAAACGTCAAATTAGCTTTTATATGCTTTGTGCCAAAATTTCAAACAAACGTAAAAACGCTTCGACGAGAATATTGATTCGCTTATGCACGAAAACGTGATCTATTTTATACACAATCGCGAAAGAACGGAGAAAGAACTAGAGAGTTTTAGATTCGTGTTTACGGCGAACGCCTAACGTCAAAACTGATCACGTGATCACTGTTTTTCTGTATTAACGCTCCGCTTTTTCGAGATTGTGTATAAAATAGAYCACTTATTCGTACATAAGCACATCACTATTCCTTTAGAAGCGTTTTTACGTTTGTTTGAAATTTTGAGACAAAGCATAAAAACCAATTTGACGTTTGGCGTTTTCAGTAAACACGAATCTAAAACWCTCTACTCTCTACTAATGGAAAATCCTTTGTTAAAGTTCATCCAAATGGCCGCTGTGACGTATAACGAAGGATAGCGTTTACCCACAAACACCCACGGTGCTACATGTAAATATTTGGTGAACAAGTTATAAATTACTTGTATTTTTTACAGTATTTATGAAAAGTTAATATCCTTCCTAAAAATTCAAGAAAATGGTACAAATTATCCACCGGTAAGTAATTATCACTATTAGAGCGGATTTCGTATGAGTGGGACACCGTTACCGCACGGTTACCGCACAGTTACCGGACCTGGCCTGCACAATTTTGGTGAACCAATGGGGCACTAGAATTTGATTACAGTACGATTGCGGTCACAGTACAGTACCGTCCGTTTCCCACTCATACGGAATCCGCTCTAAGATAAACGTAATGATAGCAGGATATTTTTTTTTTTTTTTTGGGGGGGGGGGGGGGGGGGCATTTGTGGGTCTCTAGGGTGCTGATCATCGCATCACAGCAAAAATAAATAAATTCTTCAATAGTTTTTTGAGTCTTGTGGTAAAGTTATAAAGTGTGCATTTAAATCACACAATTTAAGATATGTAAGAAAAAAGTTTCGTTTGTTATTGGTGTTGTTTTTTTGGACAATATCCCATCATGAACTTGTATGCATGGCAACAGAGCCTACCAAATTGCTGCAAAAAACWTGTTTACTCAAAAAATTTCCATATATTTATTGTAATTATTTGGCAAAACGCAAAAATTTGTGTCTGTGAAACTTGCCTGTTCTAATTTCGCGAAATAAAGTGCCCGCAAAATTAGCGCAATACTATACGATTACTCATAAATAATATTTTTGATTTTAAAAGATCTTTGTTGGTTGTATTTTTCATATTTATACGCAGTTTGTTTAATCAACCATGAATAATTTTAAACTTCTTTCCAAGCTTTCGACCTAAGCGGTCATCTTCAGGGAACACAAAGACGTTACAAAAACAAAAACAAAAACGCAAAAGTAGTTTCATTTCAGTTTGAATGCGTTTTTGTTTTTGTTTTTGTAACGTCTTTGTGTTCCCTGAAGATGACCGCTTAGGTCGAAAGCTTGGAAAGAAGTTTAAAATTATTCATTGTTGATTAAACAAACTGCGTATAAATATTTTTGATGTCGTATTTTTATTACAGAGTTTATTTGATCCAGATGCCTGGGCCAAAGAACCAAGTTATGAAGCTCTAGGTAAGTTTAGACGCTCTTTGTGTCCGATTAATATTTACCATTTTAGTAGTTTAAGTGGTAAAATAATTATCTCTAAAATACCTTTATTTCTCTATTACGTAAAGTTGTCATATTCACTATTTAAGTAAAAGTTATTTTAAAACACCATTTGCTATCATTGATAATTATAACTACATAAACAAAATATTGCATGGTCGCTTAGAGATACGAATTTTATCTTCTCTTGTTGAAAATCACCACGCTCTCTTTTCAACACTCGAAGATAAAATCCGTATTTCCTCGCCTATGTAATATCCTCTATGTGTGCCATGGTCTTGTATTTTGTGCATTATTTTCACACAACATGGTTATTTTTTCTTCTTTTTCAGCAAAAACTCAAAAGGAGGCTTATGAGAAAAAAGAAAAAGAGAGAGCTAAAAGGACACAGGTACAGTTTGTACAGGAAAGTCTTGTCTTACGATCTCCGTTTGTCTTGCGAACGACAAACACCAAACCAATCACATGATCACTGTTTTTAAAGGGCTTGGACGAAAATTGCCAAACATTAGAAAAGACTTGGAAATGAAATAGACCTATCCATAAGGGTCTAATAATCATGAAGCAACAGATTTCAAGAAGATATTGATACAAATCCTTAATAATTTGGGCAAAAAATGTTGGAGTGGATGACGTCATTTACTCAATCCTTTTGTTCTTCCATATTTTGAATCAAAATTTCTCTGATGTGGGACAATTCCAAAACAAATATTTTCCCGCAATTGTTTTTAATAGATATAAATGAGTCATATATTTGTATTGCTTGAAGTTTTGATATAAGACCATTTTCATGCAAGTAGCACTTTAAATCTCCGTTCGTTTGCGTTTGTACATAAATTCCATCATTTTCTCATGCATTGGGGGAATCACTATTATTTTCGCAGTGTTTTGRTTTTTAAAACAAAGATTAAAAGACAATTTGATAATTACGTGAATTTTAAAGTGCTTATGACGCCTGCCAAAAAAAATTTATGATTCTCTGTGAGCTGATTCTATATAAAATTCTATTTGAAGACATTCATGGCATTTCATGGCATTAACTTTATCGTATGCAATGTAGGGAATAACCATATTACCAGATGGCGTTCATGAAAACACTTTTGAGCAACTGTTTCAAAGTTCGTATATCTAATGAAGCCTCCCTTGACGTCATTATCATTAGCATATTGGAAGATTAAACCTTCAAAACTCAAAGACGCAACAMTGAAATGCAGAAATATTTCACCATTCAATTATTTACTTTATATGGAATCAGATCACAGAGAATCAGAAATTATTTTGTCAGGCGTCATAGGCACTTTAAAATCCTTAATTTCGGAAACATTCTCATACTCAGACCCTGCTCTCGAAGCCGTCGGAAGATGAATAGTTTCTGTATACGAGGATTGCTAGATGCTCATTTTTTGAGGTTTTTCTTTTCAGATTGAGTTTCTGTCAGGAACAAAAAAGCCTGTAATYCCTGCTACAGTTGCAGCTACTGGTAAAGCACTTATTTTCTTAAATATACAATTATTTCAATGTTGTTGTCCCTGACAGATAAAAGAAATTTAAACGCAGAATGCATTATGGGATATACTTGAGTTTACATGAATTTTATTCGTGCTGACAGTTTCTTATGATTATTTCATCAGGTGATGAAACGAAAAAGCGAAAGTCAAAGTGGGACATTAGTGCTGCTCCCACTGTACTACCCGATGTCTCGAAGAAAATAAAACAATAGTTATGTATTATTCAGGGACCAGGTTACACGTCAAACTTCACATCTACCGCATCGACGCCATTTTGTGCAGCAAAGCATGATAGTTTGAAATGTTTGTACTTGTTATACACGACTTTAACAATGGCCTACACTAATTAGCATTATTGTTAAATTCATAATGTTGACAAAAGAAAACACTCAGATGATAGATATCAAAGCTAAAGATAAGCTCTGAACGTTTCAAAGAAAAATATTAAATCCTCTTGAAGTTATAAGGGTTTGAAGATGCACAAAAACACCAAAACGAGGCCAACAAGGCCTCAGTAAAGAATTTCATACAAATCCTTGTATTTTCGTTCTCCTCCATAACTTTAGTTAACGTTAACGTTAGTATTTGGTCTATATCTTCAATTTTTTGCACAATTACTTATTTCTGATAGTTCTTCAATATGGCAGTGCTGATTGTTTCCTTAATATTGCCATTCATATAAAAATCGATAGTAGGCACTGACAAATATTTCCCTGAGAGCCGTTTTTTACATTTTCTTTGTAGAAACGTTACAATATAGTCTCCTCGCAGCCGTTCTTAGTGGCGGGCTCCCTGTAAGAACGGCTGCGAGGAGACTAGGTACAATACTATTTTTAACCAGAAAAAGCAAAAACAACTTAGAAGGACTGTTGTAGTTGACATAAAAAAGAGCGAGGACTACAACTAACTATCATCATGCTTTTCTGTACAAAATGGCGTCGGGGCATATTGCCTGTTAAATGCATATGGATGCGATGTGTAAATCAATTAAATTCGATTAAATACGACTTCACTCGAATCTGCGGCAGTTTAACATACTTCAGTGGTGCAAAAGTTGTTTTATACGTCACATTTCACATGCAAATTCAAATTTAAAATGCGATGCAATATATCACTTCTATGAAATATTCGTCTGTGCTATCTACCATATTGTAAAACATAGTGACCGAGAGGGAATTTGTATCCGACTCTTAAAATTCGACGTCTGAATCAAATTCTTATTCGACTGCATAGGAATTGTATTGGGCATTATATATGTGAAGTTCGTCTTATAACCTAGGCATAACTCTAACTAGACATCAACTTTGTGTATTCCCAAATGACGGCGAGCGAAATTTGCCTGTACAGATAATCTTGGATAATTTTTGTCCATAAAAATGTACTGAAGTAAAAAGTGGAAAATGTTT